TCAATGACCTGTACAGTTTTAATATCCCTGATGCCAGGATTTAAATACTGCAAACTATAAGCCTGTTGTGTAGATAACTGCCACTTATATATCAAAAGAAAGCCATGTACTAACGGAAGATGGGGATGATTGAGGGGGAGGGATCAGTTTATGAGCTGACTGACCTGAAGAAAAAGAAGTGAGTGGTCTAGAAAGATGACAGTTCTTAGCCATGAACTAAAATTTGTCTATAACTTCCACATAGTGTTGGAGTTTTGGAATTTTTGGTAGCTTAGATCCATAATAAGAATCCTTCTACCATAATGATCATGAAGGCAACAGTGATACTAGCGATGGTAATAGTTGTCATCTATTTATAGCTTACCCTATGCCAAAAATCATGCAAAATATTTTGCATGCACTCTCTTATTTACTTCTCATAATAACAAGAGTTATAAGTACTTATAACTTTTTTTTACAGATTCAGAAACTGAGTCTCAATGACTATAATTTGTTGACTTGCTGCTACATACAGAAAATGTACTTAGAAAGAGCTCACATGGAGTCAAAAAGAGATGAGACCTTGAGAAAAAGGGAGAAAACTGATCAGGTAATTTAAACCCCTGAACCAATCATGTTTAAAGCTAGATACTCTTTCTTTGTCACCCTATTTTATAGGTGTCATTCCTTTCTGTCTTAAGCTAATTTGACTTGGAATTTTGTGCCATACTAACAAATGAGGCTTATTATGAATGGTTGGACACTCACAATATTCTTGAGATGTAGTGCTCATGGATGACAATTTTTGTCCTTCATTGAATAAGTTTAAAAATCTTTGAAATAAAAATCTCTAGGGTCTTGGGCTCTCCTTAAAACACACATTATTGAAGCATAATTCTCTCATATACTTTAATGGCACTAATACACCACAGTCTTTGACTTTGTATACCAGTGCACTGTCATAAGACATTTCAGACTGGCTCCAGAGACATGCAGCCCAAGCTGGCATTCTGAGAGTGGCACCAAAGGTGATTTGTAAAGATAAATGCTTCCTGCTATATCAAAAGTCAGAGGTTAGGGTATGCCAACTTCTCCCCAAGAGCTCATTATGGGCCTTATTATTCAAAACTATCTAGGCCAGTCTCTGCCAAAGTGTTTTACAAAAGAATAATTTGGGAGATAAGATAGGACAGGCACTGTATCTCTTGTGGGTCTCCTTGATATTTATCTAGTACCTAGCACAGTGGCTAAGTGCACATAATAAATCACAAATACATAATATGTGATTTAAAGGGAATTTTTAAGAGAAAAGAGTCTTTGGTCTTATGTAAAACTATTGTGCATAATTACACTTGTTGATCATCGCAGAATAGTATCTGCTAAAGATGAGTAAGGACTAAAATCCAGGCAGTTCTTTGCCAGACTTTACTGCAGGACTTCTCAGCAGCCTGTGAGTTGTGAATATTTAAAATGATAGCTATAATATCAGGCATAGCTTACATTCTATGTAACAAGACACTTTTTCTCCTTAAATCTTAGAAGAAACAAAATCAAGCATCTTGCCTCACAGAGGGTGGAGGTGACAGAGAGGGAAAGGATGACAGAGGGAAGAGTTATTGCCAATTTTTTTCTAACTAAAGAGGTTCTTTCTGATAGTGCCTCTGAGGAGAAATCCCACTTTATTATCTTTACGTGTCGACAAATGTTTAAACATTTCTACCAGATATGATAGCAAAACGATATACAGTAGTGTTCATGGCTAAAGATGGAAAAGCTTTTAACTTCATTTGATCACCTCATTCTTGATAGTGTTAGACTGATTTTTTTTACTTCCTTTTTTGACTTCTCTGAAGGAACATTTGTGTATTCTTTAGACATCCCTTTCAGATACAATGGCATCTGATAGATTGATGCTTTTTCTCTCTTAAAATGTTTTATAAAATAGTAGTTTGTGAAATACTACCTTTTCCTCCTCTCTTTCTTTTGAAAATGGAACCTACTTCCACTGAATGAAAAATAAATGCTCTGAGATTGAAGAAGGGCCCAGCTGAAACCCCTGTAGTAGAAGCCTCACAGTGTCCCTGGCTTTACTTTTCCTTGCTCTATAGCTTAACAATAGATTGTCCCCAGTGGCTTGACCACTGGGGACAATCTATTGTTAAGGAAAAGTCTTTCAGGTTAAAAGATTATAACCAAAAAAAAAAAAAGTACTTGTAATAGCAAGCATTATAGTACTTAAGATATATTTTTTAATCCAGGAACTGAGTTCATGAGCTAATCAATTAATGAGAAACCATTTATATAAGCTTAATTTCCAATATCTATCTTGAATGAATCGAAATTTATTTTCTATGTTTGCCCTCTTATTTCTTCCTTGCCCATATCCTATTCTCCTTTGTATCTGATAAAGGTTGTAGGATGACTCTGAGAGTTTAATTTCATAACCTCCTGAATCAGTCATCTTTCAGCAGATCAACCAGTGAGAAGCATTGATGAAAGTTTGGAAGGCATGAGGAAAGGAGTAGTCTCAGAGTCTTTCCCCTTCTTCTCCAACTCAGCTGGCAAATTTGGCAACACATGTCTTTTCATGACTCCAGCTTCTACCACACTGGCCAGTCATGCTTCCAGCTACCATCAGGAAGACAACAGCCCCTACATTCCGGTAGCCCACCTTTTCACTTTATACCTTCAATCTAGTGAGGATGTTGGCTTTCTACTATTGCTCATCTCTGAACCGGTTCATTATCCTCTATTGCCTTCTCTGCTCTTCTATCACCTGCACAGCCAATTCTTTCACTGCAGTCCTTCTGTCGAAAACACTTAGTGGTCTCCTTTTTTCGGGCTGAATACCAACTAACGAACTTCATTCTAATATATGCACTTTCACGAGAATTTGTGAGTATGCATTATAAAAACAGGGGAAGGCCTTTAATTGTTTAGAATAAAATGAGAAAAGGCTCAAATATTGTGAAGCAGGAAATGCCAGAAGCCTGATCTTCAAGATCATCTTACCTATTTCTTATATGTATTTCCTAATGACACCTGAAGAAAGAGTATTATTCGACTGAGTGGAAAGGCCAAGCTTTGATTCAATGTGCTATATTGGGACTATTTTTTTCTTTTTCTAGAAAAAAAAAAACTATATATAATAACCAGTTTAAACTGGAACCCATAAAAAGTACATAAATAGTACATACTTCTGAGTAAATAGGAAGAAAACCAGATCTCAGTGCTCACAATATTATCCAATTTGAGACATATTGTCCTGGCTGAGTGAAATAATCTTTATGGACAATTTTTCTCTCATACATTCTTCACACAAAATAATAAAACCCAATATATGCAAACAGAGACAGGAACTCTAAAGATATATGCACCAAATGTATGGTCTTTTCCATTGCTCTCTTCAAGCTGAAGTGGGCAGGGCATACTGCAAGGCAAGAAAAGCCACCGTGTAGGAAGAGACCATCTAGTTATCAGTCAAATCAATTATACACACAGCTTCTCAGTCCCTATAGTGGGCAAAAAATATGCCAATCACTGTTTTCTGAAAGGTGATGACGACTCAGGGCTTTGGGATAATAAGTAGAACCAAACATGCTCTTTAAAGTTGTGAAAATAAAGAGCAACATTATTCAAAGGAAGACAGTGACTCAACAAACTTCAGAAATATTTTTCTTATTCCCTTGGTATACTCTGTCTCAACTAGTCTCTGTTTCTCCTTTAACTCTTAGTCTGTAATTGCTGAACAAACACATCTTCTATCTTTCTATGGAGCTTAGTATTGTGATATTTTTTCTTTTCTTTCCAATCATTGGGATTAGTTTCCCTATCAGCTGGGATAGTTAGAACAGTAGGAAAAAATTTAAAACAGCAGAATCTAAGCCTACAATCTAGAATCATACACCACAATGTGAAAATTAATTCCAACAATTTTTGTCTATTTACATAACAAGGACGAGGTTGGATCAACCTGATCCCATAAGTGTTTTTAAAAGCAGTTAGTCATCTGGCATTTTAGTGCATTATCATTTATTATTTCTTCAATCTTCAGTATCTAAGGAAGGTTTTAAAAGTGTTTTAGCACCTCCGGCAGAGAAACTATTGCTGCCCCGCCTACATTGCCTCACTCATGCCATTTCAGCCTGATATCCAAATACCAGAATATACTTTTTTTTGCCTATGGGTATTCCTTGGACACTGCTTTTCCCACCCTCATGCCAGATCGGAACAACCAGGAAACTCATGACAACCAGGAGCAGGCCTCAACTACCAACTACCTTTCTAGGGTGGCATATATCTGAGGAATATATCAACAGTCCCCAGTGGGATAAAAACTACTTGCCTGTGGCAGTGCTTGGCTTGGTAATGCACCCTTTACTGTCTGCCTTCACTATCCCATATCACTGCCCTGCTCCCTTCTCAGTGTCCCCTTCACTGCCCAAACAATTTGTACTTGATACCTTGTTTCAGGGGCTGCATCTAAAGGGATTCAAAATAAAACAAAATCAAATTATTCTCAACACTCTGGGGGAACGTCATCCAGTCCCCATAAGATGAATCAGCCTCATGTATATTTTCTAGGGAGAAACCAAGTGAATAGATGCTGCTTCTGATAAAGCTGCAGTGACTAAAGGAGAAAACAATAATTGCAGCAGCACTTCATATTTCTTTTTTCTCACAGCCTGTCTGGCTTATTTAATCAGGGCCGTTTGGGCACAAGGACATAGAAAAGCCCCACGCTGAAAATTAAGATGACCAAGCACCCAGAAATTAAGACTGTGGATATCCCACCATTGTCATTGTCATCGGCCATGCTCACTTACTGATCAGCTTCGCTACTTCATTTATTCTTTTGCCATTTAAGATGCCAGTGAATTATGAAAAGATTATATCTTTCCCCCAACTATTATGATGATGCTATTTCTGTTTTTCTGGCTGTAGAGAACTAAAATAAAAATTAAATGCAAATTAGTGCCAATTTAGCTTACTTTTTAGAGTCTCAAGCAGTGAACTGTGAAACAGTTGTGATAAAAGTTTATTTATTCTTTCTGACTCATGGCATCAAATTACTGTTTTGGGGGGATAAATATGTTATCTTTCCAAATACAGTTTTGCAGCTGATTTTAATAGACTTTACACAAAGGGTACTGGCTTCTAAAAATATGGGTGTTTATGTGTCTGTAGACTGTATTTCTATTGTTAGCCTCTAAGCTATTTCATTACTTACCACCTTCTCCACATTACAGGCCATTTCACGGTACCATAAAGAGTAGTTATTTTCTGTGGAGAGTTACTTTCCTTTTGGGTTTGAATTACAAATTAGGTTTAGGCAAATAAAAAGAAACAGAATGTTAGCTTACTGAGAGAAACAATTAATAACCTATTTCCATTGCTCTTGGCAAAACACAAACAAGCTCTGATTTAAGAAAGCATTATTTAGTTTAAAAAATTGTAAGGATGGTAAATTGATGTTTCCATTTCTTTTTTGTTATCTGAAGTCCTCATTGGTCAAAGACAGAAACCACATCATTTCTACAAAAGAATGCAATGAACTTTGAATGCAAGTGCTAAAGACATCCAAGGAAGTTTAAAGGCATTTAGCCACTCTGTTGTCCTCTCAATATTTTTATATACTTGGTAAAATAAAGGAAGCAAAGCATAGAGTCTAGGGTAAAACCAGAAAACATTATAATAATAAGGTGAAGACACAAAGATTCACTGTCACAGACAACCTCACACTGCTTAATTTAAGTTTAAGGGGTTACTTCAAAGCATAACCTATGGAAATTTAATGATAAGCTATGGTTCATCTGAACTTGTCAGTTGGCCCCAAGCTGCGATAATCAACTTTTCAATGTCAGACTCATTTACTCCTCGAAGAATCCTGAAATAGCCATTCTCTCCCCATGAGTTTCCCCAGGAATTGGCAACAATCTGAATAAAAAAAAAAAAAAAGAAAAAGATGAATATCACACCTTGATATTTTTTACTTATTATGATATTTTAGACTTATTATGAATTGTAATTATTAAGAACCTCAATACTTTCTAAATAAGAATAAAGGTTACATCATTCATCAGTTAGATTAATATGCATGCATATTTATGTTACCAATAGCCAGAATTGGTGTAATACCTCTGAGTCTCCCAGAAGACAACAGTAACATATGCATGAGACCTTGAAATGCCACATCAGAAGACACGCAAGCTTAAGTTTGTGTCTATGATATGACTGGCCCAATGCTAGACACTAGAAGAACAAAGACAAATGCATTATCCTGTGTTCAGGGAGCTTATGGTCTAATGAAGTACAGCCAATATAAGACAAGGTAGAAATATGCAAAAGGTGCAATTGAGGTCAACAGAGGGGCATCTCATTTACTTGAATGGTTCGGAAAAATTGTCATGGGGGAAGCACCACATGAGATTCATATTAAAGCCTGAGCATAAATTAACCAGATTAAAAAGGAAGAGAGGAGATTCAGATAAAAGAAAAAAAGAGCATAAACACAAAATAATGAGGCAGCATGAAGCAGTGAAACAAAGCAATAAAATTGTTATAAAATTAGGTCATAAAACAGAAGCAAGTCAGTAGGTTACCCATCAGTTAAATTAATATACGTGTATTTATACGCTTGGAACAGGAGGTAAGGACATCTATACTGAGAAAATAATGGTGAAAATGACAGCAAGTTATTGAGTTGCTTCCAGCAGGAGAGAAAGATGAACAAATTTATATTTTGATTACATTTTTGCATGAAATGAGATGAATGAATTGAAGAAGGTAGACACAAGAGGCAGGGAGACTAGCTAGTAAATTTGTCATAATCAAGATGAGTGACTTGTGGAAGTGCAGGGAAAATAGAGAGAGAAATAGAGAACATATATAAGAAATAGTCAGAAAGTAGAATCAATAGGAATTAGAAATTTTATTTTTATTTTTTAAAAAATAATGATGGTTAGAGAGTTGAGATAGGTCTAGAGTGTTTCCTTAGTTTAGAGCTTGAGGAAATAAGTGTACAGGGAAGAAAAAACATTAATGCAGTGTATAGAAAATATCATGAAAGCCAAAAAGGTATACGGAAAGGAATTATCTGACTATAACTAAATGTGACAGAAAAACTCAGTAGGATAATTACTGAAATTATTCATGGGATTTGCCTCACGTTCACTCTATACTTGGCCTAAGATGAAAAGTTTTCTCAGATGTGATTTACATTGGTATTCTCAAGGTATAGAATGTTACATTGAAGTTTTACTGCTTTCTACCATGTAAGAGAGGGTAGATTCACTCAACATCAAAATCGTCAGCCTTAATGAAGAATTTATTCTCATTTCTTTTAAGATTTGACTCTTTGCCTTCTTATTCTCCAGCTTTATTGAGATATTATTAAAATATAAAATATGTTTAAGATATACAAGGTAATTAGATATACATATATATTGCAAAATGATTACCACAATGTTAGTTAATACCTGTTTCTTAATGTTTATGATGTGTGTGCATGTGTGTGTGTGTGTTGATAACATTTAAGATTTAATCCTTTATCAACTTTCAAGTATATAATACAGTGTTGATAATAATAGTTACTATGCTATGCATTAGATTCTCAGATCTGGGTGTTTTTACCCTTTGAACAATATTTTCCCATTTCCCCCAACCCCAAACCCTTGGCAACCACCATTCTCTATTTTTGAGTTCAACTTTCTTAGATTATGTATATAAGTGATAACATATATTTGTCTTTATCTGGCTTGTTTCACTTAGCATAATGCCCTCAAAGCCCATCCATGTTGTCACAAAAGACAGAATTTTCTTCTTTATGGCTGAATAATATTTTATTGTACTATGCACACACGCACACACACACACACACACACACACACACACCCCCCACATCTTATTAATCCTCTCATCCATTGATGAACACTTAGAGTGTTTCTATATCTTGGCTATTGTGAGTAATGCTGCAATAAACAGGAGAGTGTAAACATTTCTTTAATATTCTTTTTTTATTTCTTTTGAACATATACTCAGAAGTAGGATTTTGCAACATCATGTAGTAATTCTACTTTTAATTTTTTGAGAAACTTCCATACTGTTTTCCATAATGGCTGCACCAACAGTGTACAAGGGTTCCCTCTTCTCTACAGCCTCACCAGAACTTGTTTTTTTGGCTGTTGTTTTGTTTTGTTTTTTTTTGATAGTAGTCATCCTAACAGCTATAAGATGATATCTCATTGTGATTTTGATTTCTATTTCCCTCGTGGTTAGTGAAGTTGAGCACTTTTTCATGTACCTATCGGCCATTTTTATGTGTCTACTTTGGAAATACATCTATTCAAATTCTTTCCCATTTTTCAATCAGATTGGAGGTTTTTTGCTATTGAGTTGTATGAGTTCCTTATATATTTTTAAAATTAACCCTTTTTCAGATAATCGTATTGCAAATATATTGCAAATATATTCTTCCATTACATAGGTTTAATTTTTATTTTGCTGATTGCTTCTTTTGCAGTGCAGAAGCTTTTAAGTTTGATGTAGTCTCACTTTTTGATTTTCCTTTGGCTGCTTGTGCTTTTGGTATCATATATGAAAAGTCTTTGCAAAAACCAATGGCAAAGAGAATTTCTCCTCCTTTTTTTTCCCTTGGAATCTTATGGTCTTCAGTATTAAAGTGTTTAATTCATTTCAAGTTAATTTTTGTAGGCCTCATAATATAAGGGTCTGATTTTATGCTTTGTATATATGGTTACCCAGTTTTCCCAAAACCATTTACTGCAGAGACTATCTTTTTCCCATGCATTTCCTTGGTTTCTTTGACAATTAGTTGATTGTATGTCAGTGGGTTTATTTCTGGGCTCTCATTCTGTTCCGTTAGTCTATGTATCTATTTTTATGTCAGAATCGTACTGTTTTGATAACTCAAGCTTTAGAATAAAGTTGAAATCAGGAAGTGTGATGCCTCCAGCTTCATTATTCTTTCTCCTGACTGTTTTAGCTACTCTGGGTCTTTTGTGGTTTCATATGAATTTTAGGATTACCTATTTCTATGAAATGTCATTGGAATTTTGCTAAGGATACATTGAATTTATAGATGGGTGTGTGTTGTATAGGTATTTTAACAATAATAATTCTTTCGATCTATAAACAGAGTATCCTTTCATTTATTTGCATCTTCTTCACTTTCTTTCAATTTTTTACAATTTTCAGTATACAGATCTTTCATCTTCTTGGTTAAATTTAGTCCTAAATTTTTTTCATACTATTGTAAATGAAATTTTTGTTTGCTAGTATGTAGAAACACAACTGACTTTTGTATGTTGATTTCGTATCCTGCAACTTTACTGAATTTACTTAATAGTTCTAATAGATTTTTGATGGAGTCTTTAAAATTTTTTATATATAAAGTCATATCTGCAAACAGAGACAACTTTACTTCTTCCTTTCCAATTTGGATGCTTTTTACTTCTTTTTCTTGCCTGGTTGCTCTGGTTGGGACTTCCAGTATTATATCGAATAGGAGAAGTAAGAATGGACAGTCTCATTTCATTCTTGATCTAAACAAAAAACTTTTAAACTTTCATCATTGAGTATAATGTTTGCTGTGAGTTTGTCATATTTGGCATTTATTATGTTGAAGTATGTTCATTATATTTCCAATTTGTTGAGTATTTTTATTGTAAAGGAATGTTATATTTTGTCAAATGCTTTTTTTTGTACTTATTAGATGGTCATGAATTTTATCTTTTGTCTTATTAGTAAAGCGTATCACATTTATTGATTTGCATTTGTTGAACTATCCTTGCATCCCCGAGATAAATCTCACTTGATCATAATATAATACTCTTTCAATGTACTGTTGAAGTCAGTTTGCTAATATTTCATTGAAAATATTTGCATCTATGTTCATCAGGGATAATCATCTATAGTTTTCTTGTAGTGTCCTTACCTTACTTTATATCAGAGTAGTTCTGGCTTCATAAAATAAGTTAAGGAGTGTTCCCTGCTCTTTGATTTTTTAGAAGAGTATGAAAACTATTGGCATTAATTTTTCTTTATATGTGTGGTAGAATTCACCAGTGAAACTATCTGGTTCTGGGCTTACTTTTATTAGAAGGATTTTCAATGCTGATTCAAGCTTCTTACTTATTAATTTGTTCCAATTTTCTATTTCTTCATGATTCAGTCTTGGTACATTATACATTTCTAGGAATTTATCTATTTCATCTATGTTATCCAATTTGTTGGGGGAAATAATGGTCGAAGGATACAAACTTCTAGTTATAAGATGAGTAAGTTTTGAGGATTTAGTATACAACATGGTGATTATAGTTAACAATACTTCTACTGTATGCCTGAAAGATGGTAAAAGAGTATATCTTAAATGTTCTCACCATGCACTCAAAATATGGTAACTATATGAGGCTATGGGTGTGTTAACAAACATTTTGGTAAGCATTTTGCAATATTTATATAGAGAGAAATCATCACTTTATACACTTTAAACTTAAACTTACCTAAAACTTAGTCTCCTGTCACACAAATTGCATATGTATTATAAGACAGGAAATGCTTTCTTTTACTTCCCCTCGAAATACTTTATACTTTATCTTCACACATCATGAGAATTAGACCTGTAGCCATTTGTCTAGTTAATTGATCAAATCCTAAAGGATAATAAAACTTCCCTTAGCTCCCCCAAAGGGCCAAAGTGTTAGAGACCAGACAAAATTCTAAATTATAACTCAGGTTGTCAGGAGTACTGGGACATTATCTCCCTCTCCCTCGGTATTTACATACTAAAAGGTATAAAGCCCATCATTTGGAGACATTATCTGGTATGCATCTGGCCCCAGACATATTTATATTCCTCAGGTTTAGGGTAAGAACAAAAGACCCATCCCATTTCAACTTAATGGAATACAAGTTTTTTCACTCCTTCCAGAAAAGAAGGAGTTTGTCTGTCTCACTCCTCCATATAAATGAAGAAAATACATCGTTTTCTGTCTCTCATACATGGAGATTAAATTGTCATCTCTATAGAAAAATTCCATTGACTCTTATCACAGCACCTGCAAGACTAAAGTACGGGGGTCCAATGCTGTGCCATTGGCTATTGATTTTGTTGTATCGGTTAAGAACTCTTTTCTTCTGACCCAAGTGTCTTCATATAAGTGGACTAACATCTTAGACCTTTCATAATTCTTGATGAAACAGTAAAATAGTTTTTAAATATTTCATATTTTAACTAAACCAATATTAAGTTTTATACAAAATGAAAATAATTTTAGTGACTTGACTGGATTTATAAATTGTTATTCATTTACACATTCAACAAATATTGTTTATATTCCTACTATATACCAGTAATTGTGCACTGCTCTTTGTATACATTGGAAAATAAGGCAGATATGATTCTGGTCTGAAATGAATATATAGTTTAGTGGGGAAAAAAAGTCAACCAAAATTTGTAATAAAAAAATACAATAAATTTTCAGTCTGAGTCTTATATTTCTACCATTTACATGAAATAATGTCTCTAAAAGAGTGACAGTAGAAAGAAATCCTGGCCATATGACCATGAATTAATGTTTTCTTTGAAAATTTTTGGTAAGTAGTAAGTTCAGAATTGATAGTAACTACAAGAAATGTAGTTTAAAAGGATAGTGTACATAAAGAAGTACAAATTAGTAGTTGATAGTTGGGCACAGGGAGCATGGCAGAGAGAATGCAGTTAGCATTAATATGATGGCTAAGTGGAGGGCCAGGGAAGAGAGGGAGCAATTAGAGGGATCATTTTATGAACTATATAGATGTCTAACCAATGTACTGTATACTTGAAACTAATTTAAATAAATTCATTTTAAAAAATACATATCGGATTTAACTAGCACAGAAAAAAAAAAGGGGGTAGTGTACCTGTGTTGAACAAATGAGTGTGAGTGTGTATGTGTTTATTACCCATGAGGCTTTAGGATGGAAATGGAGTTGAAGGTAAAAAGATCACAGAACGTTTCCTTTACATTATATTCATATTTACTCAACACAGTCAAATTTACTCAATAAATACTTACTGAGTGCTTTATGATAAGAACTGTTGTGAAATAAATATATTAAAGAAATTTTTGGCTCTAAATGTTACATTATAAGATTGGATAACTATTCAAACTAATTTAATAAAAATCCCATATGAAAATTTATTTGTAGATATTCAAATAACATATCTTCTTTCATGTATTATGAATTTAATTCTTGAATATTAATATTAATTATTGGCTACTTCAAGCTTTATTTTAATAAGAAAAATGATATTTAAGAAAGCTGAGTTTAAAAACAAAGAAGCATCATTCTACTTAAAAACATAATGTTGCCATATATCAAGACAGATACAAGGTTAAGACCACATACTTGGGTGACTGATTTTTGTGAGTGACTTGTGGAGAACTCTAATTAACAAGATTCACTCTGATAAGTACAAGTACTAATATCTGGTGTTTTGTTAGTTATAATAGACCCTCTACTGGATACATTCAAGCTCAAATTTCATGATGAATATCATTCCCTAAACTTTATATTATTTCTGAAAAAAAAAATGTATAATAATGTAAGGACTTGGGACAATTCATCAAAGTTTACTGTAATCAACTGAATATTTGAGCTAATATGTTGTAATCATTTTCAAACTGTTTCTTACATGTAACTTTCTATTAATATTAAGACTAGACATTGTTTTTTCTCCATAAAGAAACATGAACATGTTATAATTGGCAAAAGCAAAAACAAAACACTTAACCTTTATATATAAATAATTGACACAAATAGTACAAAGGTATCACCCATAGCAAAAATAATGTAAGAACGCAAAATTGATTGACACATAGGACAGAAATATAACCATTACTTTAAGTTTAATATTGATGATAATATGAAAAAAAGTTTTCCTGTTGATTCTCATTTTGAAAACAAAATACTGGTTTTTAACAATTTAAAATAAGAGGATTTGAGGAAAATTATTACTATAATATTAATGATTACAATGAGTTTTGTGTTGGAGAAAATACTGGCATTGCAAACAATATTATAGTGACTTAGGATGTGACTAAATAATGCAAAGCAGGAGTAGAGACACAGAAGATTCTAAAATATATACTTCATGGTAGAAATTCAAGTAGAGTTACATACCCAAAATTTTTCTTTTCGTCCCTGGGCTCCTCTCAGTGTGCCCCATCTACAAATAGTAATAATAATAAATATTGGTATGGTTAAAAATGTTTGACTTGCATCTTGATAAAATGTAAATTATTTTCAGGATTGTATCTTTTCTATTTTCCTTTGCTCCACCCTCTTTTACTATGCAACTGTCATTATTGCCTGACAGAAATGTGCTTGTATAGTTTTCTTTTTGACTACAACATTATTTACTTGCTCAGAAAATAGACATTTATATCCAAATGGTTTGAAATCAAACTTATTGCTCAAAGGAGATCCTAGGGCAACTAGGGTATGAAGGTTTTATTTTGTTGTTGTTGTTTTTGTTTTATTTTTTATTCTATTAAAATATAGTTGACATATATTTATTTCAAGTAAAACATATGTATTTGATAGATGAATGAATAAGATGTGAGATTTTATATACATATATATATATATATGGATGTGTGTATGTGTATGTGTGTGTGTCCAGTTCCCCAACTCCCTTCTGGTCATCATCAGACTGTCCTCTATATTTGTGAATCTGTTTTCGATTAGTTCTAGAGGTATATTATGGTAGTGAAATAAACCAGACAGAGAAAGATAAATGCCACAGGATTCCACAAAGGTTTCAAAATACTTAATGATGCCTACCTCTTTTACATCTAACTCTCTGAAACTCTACCTACCCTAAATGGCATAAACCACAAACCTCCAAGACTTGCCATACAAAACATAATGTAAATACAGAAAATTGTTGTAGAGAAGAGAATTTATGTAAAAATATTAATATATATATATTATTTTATAAACTGGCTATGCACCGAATTTGTACCTATAAAAATGAAATCCATATTCCTAGTACTGGCTCATTTTCAATGTAGCATGTAACAATTCATTAAGAACCCAAACCTACAATACCTCATTTTTTCTCTTGACTAAGCCCAGTGAGGTAGATATTACTAATGTGTTTTATTTACTAATGAAATAACAAGATTTGTCCAATATTATAGAGTGAGAAATGTTGAACCAAGACTCCAAATTCCATACTCCTCTTCATATCTTATATTGCTTCTCTTATAGAGTCCACAACTGCTGTATGTCCTGAACAGCAACAGTTTTATGCTGAGAAAACAGTGATGACCACTTTTACATGATTTGTGGATTGTGAGAATATAGTTCTGCCCACATATCACCCCATCGATTCAGCCCTAATATCCCAAATCCCATCATCCGAGGTCCTTTAAGCTAAATCATGATGTGTCATTACATAACATTCCTGAAAGAGATACAAATTTGTTCAAATATTTTCAATATGTCAATTTGCAGAAAGTTATTTTTCATAGTGCAGAATAGAACAATGTCATCATGGCATGGAGGTATTGCCTAAAAATGATATTCAAGAATATACATTAATGCATTTGGATCTTTTGGCATCAGAGTGAGGGGAAAAAAGTGATTAGGAAGGTAGGAAGCTAAAAAACAATTTTTCTTTCTGTTGTTCCTGATAGGAGCTAGGATTGGCAATTACATTGGTTGTCATTTCTCTTATAGTTCCCTGCTGCACACAGGGGTAGAACAGAACACATTAAGATTTCAAATATTCTATGTAGATTAATGTGTAAATTCAAACTGATTCGATTATTTTCCAAACCATTTTTGTAGTTTTGTAATTGCATTTACACACTTTTAAATTTTCTAAAAAGTCATCACCATTGAAAAAATTTACCAGTCACAATATGTGTCCCTAAACTTCAGCGATCATTATGTACTTTTAGTAGATGATATCTGAAACCTCAAGTCATTCATTTCTACTTACTTATCATGGCTATCAAAACAATTTCAAATAGGCTTTACCACTCAATTTAACTTTATTTCAGATGATCTGGCTACTACTTTAGCTATTTACATAAAATATAAAACATCAGACTGAATCAGGACAGTCAAAGGAACCATTCAACTCCAAAATTATACAGGCAGGAGAGAAACCCCATATCTGAGATCTCACCAGACCTGGTGAGAAGTTGGGAGCAGTCTTGCTTGAGGCACTAAGGGGACTCCTAAGAAACAACTCCCAATTAAGAAAGAGGTATTCAGACATGGTAAGCTTGATCCAGTAATTAAGCCTTGATCAAAAGAAAGGGGCAATTGAGAGTATAATTTGCTCTCTATCACTCAGATCTGTCCAAACTCAGCTCTCACACTGGACTCAGGCAAGTCAAATTTGTTATATTAAAACCTGAAAGACCAATTTTGCTAAAAACTCTGCATATTCTATAACACACTTTAATAATACTCAAATAGAGGGTAAAACCAAATGTGGATAAAAGTTTCTTCCCCACTTTATAAGATCTTTCAAACTTCTTGGGTTCTAATGCATTGAGGATGGTTCATAGGAAAACAAATATTATACAGAATATTTATAAAAAAAATTATACCATAAAATAAGAATTGCATTTATTAATAAGACTATTTTAGATACTCTGGAGACTCTCAGAAAAATTGAGACATTGTTTAGGGGCATGAAAATCCACAATTACATATGGAGTTAAGGTTTAGCAAAATAATGACTACACATAATTCTCTTACCAACAGATCAGAGACTAATTCTAAGGAAACAGAATATTTCCTCACAAAGGAGAAGAGGCACTTCAGATTGTAGCTTTATAATTTTTCTTTTTCTAGTACCACAAATAAATTATAAATGAAATAAACTACCTCAGTTTGGAGACACCTAAGTAACATAAACTATCACTTTAATTTTTGTTCAATTGCCTATATTTTTCAAATGTTCCTATGAATTATTATTTAAATAATATTTTTAATGATATAATAGACTGCATTGATTTTTACCTTGCAAATCTATCAACTCTTTGGAGTTGCTGTAAAGTTTTTTCAAGAAGTGTTGCTATTTATTATAACTTTAAGATGCATTGTGTAAAATACAAGTCATTTTTAACCCAGAGAGAATACCAGAATTCAAATTATTATTAAAAAAAATCTCAAAATGGGCAGGAAAAAAATGTCTTTAAATAGATGAGGGAGGAAAAGTAAAGCAAGGCTGCTGAGTTTGATAGTTTCAGAAACTAGGATGCTTGCGAAAGAAAATTATTATTATTATTTTTTTTAAAAAGGACATTAACCTTTATGCAAAATTCATATGGAAAAACATATCACATTCACTGCAGGAGCTATTGTGTAGTTCCCCTACATTATAGCCTCTGTGTCAAATGACAAGCAAGATTCATCCATCACAGGTTCTTACACATGTACTGCGACCTTCAGTTATCTTTTCTCTCCTCTATCTTCTCTAGACAGCTCTTGAGATGGTAATCAAATATCTCATAGAGTCGCAATGGGGTGTTGTAGAAAAATAGACTTGTGGGTTGTTTTCTAAATATATCATGTGCTGAAAGACTGAGAGAAATCACTTTGCCCTAGGTGATTTCCCATTAATACTATAGCAAATTCATGTAATTAAAAACTTTCTCCACACTGAAATGAAGGTTAACTGGTACAAAGCGAGAAGACTACTTATTCATTAACATTCATTTTATTATTATTCATTTATAGGAGAGAGCTCTTCTGACCTTTGAAGGGCATTTTTCTCTAAGATACATATGTTTCTGAATTGTGGTACTGCACTTTTCCATGCCATTATACCAATAGGCTGAAAATTCTTGATATATGTATATATTTTCACAAATGTCTTCCTGTAAGTCAACAGCTGTCTTTGAGGATATGGGAATCTTCATTACATTCATATTTTCTCTAAACATAACTACACTCTTCTTTACTTCATTTGCACTTCTTCATTTTAAGGACTATTCACAAGCATTTGTTTAAACAGACAAAAACCCTAACCTCAGATTGTCTCCTTGACCTTGCTACTCTAAAACAGGTTGTACAAAAGGTTCACAAGCTTGAGAGATCTTAATAATGGCTTTTCTTGCCTCAAGTGATTCTACTTCATATGAAGATTATACTGTTCTTTAAAATTTTTTCTACTTCATCAAACTATTTCAATTATTTGTTAAGACCCACTAATGTTTATTTTCTCTCAAAATTTAGTTACATCTTGGGAAATGCTGGTACTGAAAAAATCTGGGCAGGTCTTAGCTCATGGACTATATTTCCTGAGGATGCCTGAGATGGCTACATTGAGTCAATTCTCACCTCAAGCAAATGATCATTTAATCTCTTCCTTCTGGATTCATCTTATATTCTCCTTTTAGGTAGTTCTAGAAACACTACTCTTTTGCATAATATGAAAATTCTTAGTGCAGAGACCATAAATTTTGCAGAGTAAAGCATGAAAACCCATTAACGTATGATGTAAATTTTGCATTGCTAAGGTTATGACTGTCTTTATGCATGTTCTCTTTAAAAAGAATGTTATTCTTTATGATAACTGTGCTAAACAATATTAGATTTCTTTAAATCCTATTTTAAGGTATATCTAGATAACAAAATTATTGGAATTGAATAACTACTTTATATGAGATTTTAAGTTACAATTTTTTATTCCCTTGGTTTTGATTTTGCCATTGAGGTTCATATATCTAGTAATGATCATAGATAACATGGAAATAAAAGAGAGTTAAGATAAAAGTTTTTTAAGGTAATATTTATATTCCCATAAATAATCCTTTTAAAAGGAAAGCATAGAATCTCTGTGTTCTTCATCCGTTTATTTCTGCCTTTTCCAGCAAATACTGTTTTAGTACGAAGAATATATGTCTTTTGTCTTCAAGATACTGGCAATCCAATGAGAGTGTAGAATTTTAGTCACAATAAATAAGTGCAAAGTCACAAGAGAACCGAGAAAACCTCATCTTGGTCTTTTCTAAGAGCAGCAGTACTCCAACGTGACTGGAGAATAACAATGGGAATGGCAAGAAATAAAATTGGAAAAGTGGTTTTGGCGCAGGCTGTCAAGAGTATTCGTGGTTACCCAACATGGCATTTACAAAATTGGTAATAGAGAATCATCTGAATATAGGATGTGACAGGATCCAGACAGTCTTTCAAAGGGAC